TTTGATCTGATTTGTCATTAAATTTAAACTTAAATCGGTTGCCCAAGGTTTGAAACATTAAGGAAAGAATCAAAATCATTATAAGCTTCCTTCAAAACGAATTGACGCGCGCATGAAAATCCTGAACGTTTTAATTTAAGCAATACAATCTAGCCTTTCCATGCAGAGAGCCATCTCTTAAGGACAACTTTTTATTATGAAGAGTTTCCTGTGTACCAAAATAAGCCTCCCGGAGGAAAATACTTTGTGCGAAAGTCGATTCAATCTAATCTGCTCTCAAAAGAAAATATTTTCTATCGCTATAGTTGTTATCTCTGGCGGACACCTCTTTATTACCTTAATGACTCTGAGTAACGAGAGGACCGTATCTGAGTTTATACGAAAGTCTGTTCCTTTATTGATACATATCTTATTACTCATTCATTCGACAACGCTCGCAAGCGATACGCAAATTTAAAGTTATCAGGCTTCACACGTTCATCCATTTGACATGAGTGGAATTTATCTGATACGCCATCTAATTAATAGGAATTCCAATTTCAAGTGCGTGTGTTCAACCTTTTCTACAACATGGTTTTCTGTACAAAATAGCATAAAGCATAACCAAAAATAATCCAGTCTTTTTTTCTGGATTCCTTACACCTGAATGAATAACTTCTACAGGAATCAGAATGGACTCTGAAACTGAATGGAATGGCAAAAGTTGGGATTCGAAAGGAGTTTACACAGTTTTAAAATGCAATATTTCTACGAACTGCTCAATTGTCTTACTGTCTTAGTTCGGCTGTACAAACCGACAACGAAATAATGAGCACTTAAGCGCGTGTAAACGTGGCGTAGGGCCAAAAAATTAACACAACAGAACAACTGAAAAAACGAGTAAGAGGCTTGGTGCGCGGTTCGGGTCCAACCTCCGACTGCCTCGACCCAAACCACCTCATTTTTTTGATTTTGATCAAAGAAAATTAACCGCCATCGCGAGTCACTCGAATTGGATCTGAATAAAACATGGTAACAACATTCCACGTTTTGAAACTTTAATAAAATCAAAGTTGATAATAATCGTTAAATTCACTTTTATTTAAAAGGGACTCAAAAAATATCGAGCGTGCAAGTTTTACAATTGCAAATGGTGCTTAATAATGCATCAACAATGGAAAGACGGTCAGAATTGAATAACAATGTCTGTGAAAAATATTTACAATCAAGTCAATAACAACTGTTCGACAATTAAATTGATGTGTTAATCAATCTACTACGCAAGTAAATTACAAGTCTATTTACAACTTGGTAGTTGACCACTGATGTACTAAGAATCTGTCTTGGTTTTAGTTTTGGATATTTGACTGTTAACGATATTTCAAATTCATTATTAATCATGTAAAAATGCGAGTCACCCCAATAACATAGGTATCATGATAGCGATTTCACTATTAAATTTTCCAGCATCGAAAACCTTGAACACTCCGAAGAAGGGTCTATATTCAAACTAATTCCTTGGTTGCATTCCAAATACAAAGCAATGATTATTATGAATCATGACTACAGGGCTTTTTGCTAAGATTTCTTCACGGCTTTGTAAACGAATCTAATGCAGGACTCTAACTGCATTGAAAAGGCTTTCTATGGATATCACACAAGCTGATGAGTGGCTTTAGTCATTCAGTTAAGAACAGTGACCAATTCAACCAATACCATTTATGTAAAGATTAACGAGGGAAATTGGCCACAACTTGCGTTGGTTCTATGTCTGCTGTCATAAGGATCCTTGAAAGTGAAAAGCACTCCCTGGCACTCAACAGAGCTTTGGCCTCGCTGTCCGTACCATGACAAAGGACCTTTGATAATTGATAGTAATTCGTAATATTTATATGCCTCCAGATGAATCGGACGGTCAAACAATACATCAAAGCCATAATATTTAGAGTTCTCTTTGGCAGTTGATGCGTAATTTCCAGACTGTGTTACCAGACACTTTGTAAAAGGTTCGGTACAGTTCACCTGTAAGGAAACCTGGTACTCGTTTCCTATGGAGCCAAAAAGCTCAACCCCGCGAAGTCTGATGGGTTTATTGACTGAGAACTTCAATTTGTCAGTGCTATCAACGTCGTAGCACCACTTGCTAGAATTGCTCGCCGAATAATTTACCGCTGATGAGGCATTTGCCTGACGGTATGACCGGGCTAATTGACCGCTACGTAATTGGTTGCGGGTCAGATAATGAGAATTATCATATAATTTAACTTTCCTGGTCTGAATAATTGGCATATCAAACCCTGAAAATCTGTGGCATCGAAAAAAGCTGGCAATAAATCTTTTCTCTTGGGAAAATGGCAAAGAAATTGTTGGAACGTTGCTGTAGTATCTCATCATGTCGCTGTTCTCCTCATTTGTGAGAATACCAGAACTTAACACCACAGACGCAAACTCTGCCTGAGAAATTAGAGGAAACCTTATGGCTTTAACAATTTCATCTCCGAGAATTCGTCTTTTTAGGTGACCAGTAAGAGTTTGTCCTTGCTTTACAATTTTTTTGGTGGCCCACTGATCTATTGCCTTAAAGAGATCTACTTCCTTAACATTCAACGTTCTTCTTTTCACGACAGACTTGACAACAGATATTTCAACTGTTGAGAATCCATCTGACATCAACGCCTCGTCCGCTTGCATCTCAATAAGTTTCCAACATTTTCTTTCTAACTCTTTCGCTTCGAATTTCTCAGCAGCGACTAGAATTTGAAAGACATTCGATACTACTAAAATGTCACGCAAATACTTAGTGCATTTATTCACGAGCGAAGGCACCATGTATTGCGTGGCTAAGTTCAATACTTGCATTACGTTGCTTCCGCTCAAATTTACTTTGTCGTAGTACAAGAAACGAAGCAACTCCAACAGGCTCTCGTACTCATAGTCAGGTAAATCAATAGAGTTTTTAGTTTCCGCCATTGGGCCGTAGAACATGGCACAAAACACAGGACTGCTGATTGCAAGAATAAACTTGTGAGCTGGAATCACCAGCTGCGTGCCGTTTGACGCTGGAACAACAAATTTTATATCGCTTAGTAGCTCTCTGCTGAATATAAATTGGTTTCTGTCTAAGACAGTAAGACACTTTGTCTGCCAGTCTTCTGCTTCAATAATCGGTGCGTCAGCGACAGCTGTGTTGTTTGCAGCCTCCGCAGCCCCTGAAATTTCGTAGTTTGTTGCCATCGTTGCTGTTACTGATTTATTGGCGTTCTTTGATAAAACAATCCCCATATAGTCTCACTTGATATCCTTTCACTAATGGTTTGCGATTGAGAGTCGCTGAGCAAAAATTGAAGATAAGAAATCGACGAGATCTCGGTTAGATGTGTTTACTTCTTGCAACGAAGGAAAGCTCTCGATTTTCGTAATTTAATAGCCTCGAGGTTATGTGATTACCCAAATATTCAAAATATTACGTAGTGTTCTGTTTCTAAATATCATATTGCGTCTCGGAAAATCTTCTGCATGACAGACTGTACTTGGTACGTTTGAACGTAGTTTTACGTCACATCGGCCTGTTCCACGCTTAATATTCTTACTATTATCATTAATGTTGCTATCATTATTATTATTATTATTATTATAATTTTTTATCATTATTATCATAATTATTATACCTATCATTATTATTATTACACCTATCAATTCTAAGCTTTAACATCTCCCCCTAACCCTCGGACAACCCACGGGAATTTGACTGTCGCCCATGCCCGAGGGAGGGGAAATTTGAATGTTTTAGATGAAGACAGATTAAAAAGTGTCATAACTGTAAAGAGAACGTAAATGTTAACCCCCCCCCTTCTTCCACGACCGCAGGTTGGCTACTTTCCTTCGTCCCTAGGACGGCCCTTTAATCAACAAGTTTATTGATCAACACAAGTTTATTGTGTCTTAGGCTCAGCTATTCAGGTGTGACATAACATAATGAAATGGCACAATAGCCAATTCTCTGTATTCATTAAAAATTAAATTTAAATTTAAAAGTTTAAGTCAGGATCATAAATTGCAATCTAAAATAATTCCATGCTATGCTAAGAAGTAACAACAATAATCATATGTACTAACAATAGTAAATAACAAGTAAAAAGTTAGGTTAAAAGGCCCAAAAGGAAAATTTTCTTTATACTGTTTTTGAAGGCCTTGAAAGTTCTGACAGTTCTGTGTGACTCTGATGGTAGGTTCCACAGCTTTGGCTCTCGGTAACGCCTCTGGATGGCCCCTTCAAAAAAAATCGGAAAAAAACGAACGAGCAAATAATAATAATATAAATAATGGTAATAGGACCGAGTGGAGTCCAATTTGGTCTGTAATCATACGAGTGATTAACAAAATCGAACGACCGCGAAGCGGGAGTCAGATTTGTTAATTACGAGTATGATTGCAAACAAGTGGATGACAAGAAGTCCTGTTACCAATTAATCACAACTATGACAAAATTTGAGAAAGAAACTAGACATTGGTTCTACACGTTTTCATTTAAAATTAACTCGGCGAAATGCGAGACAACAGCGCGCGCACATGACGCGTTTTGTCCACTTACCTAGGCATGACGTCCTATTACACCGTCAAATTACAAGCATGACGCGTACACTGTCCTATTAGAGCACAAATCAGGCTGGTGATAGCCAATCACGTTCGAGAATTATTTTATAGTTTTGATAATGATAATAATAATAATAATAATAATAATGTTAAAAATTAATATTAAAATAATCAACGTGGAATGAAAGTGATTTGAGAGGCTGATGTGACGTAAAACTGCCCTCCCTAAAGGTCATGAAGGTGATTTTGCGAGACGTAGTATCGAATTTTGAAATAGAACACTGCGTAATATTTTATATATTTGGGTAGTTTTAACCAAAGGATTATTGTATTACGAAAACCGAATAGCTCTTCGGCTCTTTTCGTCAATTTTTGATTTGTGTCTCTCGATCACAAACCACAATTGAAAGGAAATCAAGTCAGACTGTATGGGGGTTGTTGTATCAAAGAACGCGGTCAAACCAGTAACAGCAGCGATGCCAACAAACTACGAAATTTCGGGGGCTGTTAACTACAACACGTCTGAGGCTACATACAACACTGCCGCCTTTGATGCACCAGTTATTGATAATATTGGCAGACAAAGTGTGATACTGTCTTAGACAGAAACAAATTTATATTCAACAGAGAGTTACTAAGCGATGTAAAATTTGTTGTTCCAGTGTCAAACGGCAAGAGGCTGGTGATTCCAGCTCAAAAGTTTATTCTTGCAATCAGCAACCCTGTGTTGTGTGCCATGTTCTATGGTCCAGTGGCGGAAACTAAAAACTCTATTGATCTATCTCACTATGAGTACGAGAGCCTGTTGGAGTTGCTTCGTTTTTTGTACTACGAGGAAGTAAATTTGAGCGGAAGCAATGTATTGCAAGTGTGAACTTGGCAAAGCAATACATGGTGCCTTCGCTCGCGAATAAATGTACCGAGTATTTGCAAGACATTATAGAATTATCAAATGTGTTTCAAGTTCTAATTGCCGCTCAGACATATGAAGAGAAAGATTTGGAAAATAAGTGCTGGAAAGTAATTGAGATGCAGGCAGATCAGACTGTGACATCACAGGAATTCTTTACAGTTGAACGATCTGTTGTCAAGTCTGTTGTGAACTGAGAGAGACACGCTAAATATAAAGCACGCAGATCTCTTTAATTAAAGCAGTAGATTAGTGGACAACGAGAAAAATTGAAAAGCATGCGGAAACTCCTGATGGTGCCTTGAAAAGAAGAATTCTTGGTGAAGAAATGATAAAAGCGGTAAAGTTTCCCCTAATGTCTCAGAGAGAGTTTGCCTTTGTTGTTATAGATTCGAGCATTCTTACAGATAAGGAGCTGAGCGACATGATGAAATACTACAGTAATATTTCCGCAACCTCTCTGCCAATCTCGCAAATTGAAAGACTTCAAATTAACTTTCTAGGTGCCATAGATTCTTAGGGTTCCATGTACCAAGCGGTGATTATAGGTGTGGTGACTGATTTTACAACGCTAATTCGACTGACAAGCTCAGATTCTCAGTCAGTAAACCTATTAGGCTCCGTGGAGTTCGGCATTTTGGCTCCAAAGAAAATAAGTAGACGATTTCCTTGCAAGTAGACGATGCGCTATATTTCCTACCAATTTGTCTTGTAAAACAGTCAGGAAAGTACGCTTCGTCCGAGATGAACAAGACCAACAAATATTTTGGCTTTGATGTATTGTTTGACAGTCTAGTTGATCTGAAAGCAGATCGTGAATACGAGTTAAAATCTAGCTAGTATCAAAGGTCCTTTGTCATGGTACGGAGAGCTTGGCCAAAGTTATGTTGAGTGCCAGGGAGCGATTTTCACTTTCAAGGATCCTTCTGAAAGCATCCGTCTCTGAGTCCTCATTGGCTAATGATGATGTAAACCTGTGTTCTGATTGGTCGCTGGGACTACGTTGGTTTTGGTTTTTCAACATTCAGTGGAAAACTGCTATGCTCCGTAGAAGTAACCATGGTAACTAGTTGTTTGTTTTTGAAATATATATTTGATCCATCGCAACTTAGAAGGATAAACGAATTCAAAGCTCAAAACTAAGCTTTGAATCACGATCGCGCTAAAGTAGATCTATATATTTCCAAAAAGCTCAGTATGAAGGTTGATATTAAAGATGATGTCGACAAGAGTAAAAGAGAAAAATTCAGCCCATTATTTCATATCAGTTGTAATACGAGTAGACTTTAAAATTTTGGTAATGAGTGAATCTAGGTATGTACCTACAGATGAAATCGTCGAATGGCGTTTTTTGGATTGTTCCAGGCTTTTGATTAAAAAAATTTGTGACGTTATAAATTTTGTGAAGGCACTTTTAACATCGTGTGACTTCTGGTGTTGATGTCTCTTTCAAAACGATCTATTCAATTACATGAGATAAGGAATCAGTTTCATCATGAAGTGCATTTTGACTGATCGTCGTAAAACACAAACCAAAGTCATTAAAGCAAAAATTATTACTGCGAAGAGGATCACTGTCATCTTCACAAACCAAAATAGTTTTGTGAGTGTCATCCTAAGTTACCTGATTTGGTGAAAGTACTGATTAGTACGATTTCATTTGAAAAAAATATTATAATATCTGTTTCGTCAATATAATGAATTATTAACTTGATTTTCCTGATTGATTTTGATTGACACTAGCTTATGTAATTAAGCCACGTGAATAGTTCAGTTTTCAGTTCAGATGCTTAAGATTCGAAGATACGTACAAGTTCTGCTAACCTGTCTTGCTGACCCGTGTTCTGTTATACCCTGACCTGTTTCATCTGTTGCTGACCTGTCTGTACGTAGCTATACACCGTGAAACAATCCTACTAGACATCGTCATAGAAGTAAGTTCTCAGTGCTGTAATTCTATCTAATAGTTTTACTCGTGTGTTTATGAATCGATGGATCCTGTTCAATTTCTCAAATGTATCTCGTTCTTTTCTTTAGATCGAATAATAATATATTGGAATAGATTATGCGATTTGCGTAGCCTAGTTGGATTACCTGTTTGGTTTTGTTGGACCAATATCTTTGCTGGTTTCCTTTCTTGTGATTGGTTGATTTTGTATATTAAAGTTATCCCGGTAACATGCTGTAGAGTGATTGTTATATATACACTACTGACCAAGCGTGAGGTCAAGATGGCTGGATATTGGCCGACTTCAGTTTTTCGTTTAATGGACCGAGACAAATTCGAGGTCCATAAAAACGCAATTAATTTGTCAAATTTACATAGTTGACTCTCGTTGGCGAACTAAGCACGATGTAATGGCAAGGGAGAACAAAAAAAGGGTAAGGTTTGGGTCGAGTTGGTTTTTGAGATGTGACCCACGCGTCAATGCGTGCTTATGTTTCTTGTTGGTTTGTTTGGTTTTTTAGTCTTGTTCTGTGCCATGTTGTTACACCGTGTTTCTCAGCTGATGGACTGGCACGCTAAGAACGGTTGGTGTTGTAATGTACTAGTCATGTGATCTACATGAGGTGTCTCGTTTAGCTTTCTGTTGTGGTTTGATAACGGAACAAAGGGCTTTCGATTTTTCCATGAAATACCTAAAAAAAAAAAACTTTTACCCTCGACGGGAAAACTAATATTTTGTTATCGTAAGAAGGAATGAGGAAAAGCTTTCAGTTCTGTCGTGGACATTTCCTGTTTCCTTTCTCCAGATTACTGATGAGTTACAGCAACGGATTATAATCTCTTGGGTTTCAGGCGGAATGGTATGACAAGGATTTGCACATCGTTGCGGACCTATGTTTGGATTTAAGGAAAATGATAAAACATTGGTAACATCCCTGTGAAATTCGAGTAGCCTTTGAAGTTATCTCATAAACAACAACAAGTTGTTGCAAAAAAACGAAATATAAGTTTCTCATTTTCACCCAAACTTCCAGCCTACTTCAACAAGTTCATATCCCACCCTCAGAAAACCGAGCCTGCAGCAAATTAAACCTGCGGTAGGGTATTTAACGCATGCTCGGATTAGTCCTTCAAGTTTATTCTCGCAGAAAATCATTGGGGATATGTATTTTAAACTATAGCTTTTCGTTGTCCTTTTTATTTCTTCCATTGTTTTTTTTTTTGTCATTGTGGTTTTATTTCCCTTAATAATGCGTGGGGTTGTCGTAGCAAGTATTTTTCTCGTTGTACACTGTATGTGTGTAGTTATAAACGCTGAATTCGTCCGCGATCAACCGTCTACAGACGTCCAAAAATTATCGATCTCGAGAAAATCCCTGAACTCTCATCGACGTTTTCGCCGAGACGCGAAACACGAGGATGAAAAAGATGTAGTCAACGTAGGAGGAGACGGGAAATGTGACAATCCTGCCGTGGATGAAAGCAGTAAAATCGAAGATAATCCAGTAAGTCTAGTGCATTTTGCAGTTTTGTTTTTTGTTTACAAAGAACAGCCATATTTCCGCATCTTGTAACAACGGTAGTTGCAATTCATTGGAACCTTTTTTCTTTTTTGAAGTGGAAGTTTGAAAACGAAACAAAGATGAGTATTTCCATCAGCTGGATCGGTAAAAAACAGACTGGAGAAGCTGCGGTGAGTAAAGCTTTTAATTAAGACCCTTATTTTTCGGTTTACGAAAACTACGTCGTTTACCTCAGCGATACCGATGCATCTACCAACTGAAATTAGTACTCGGTTTAATTTACCTAGTGCGGATCACATGATGATCGGTGATGTTTAGACAGAATTATAGGCTCTCAGTATGTGCAAACTTTCTATCAAACCTTTGCTCGATCTTACGGCTCTAGCAAGTGTTTTTGTTGTTAAATTTTAGGTGCTTTTTATCCCCTGCAGTTATTGTTTACCATTAATCAAAAAATGTCGGCTATTAAATTATGAAGGACAAATTACCATGGTATCCAAAAATTGCTCTAGGAATGCCCTTTTTTCTTAAGATATATGCGCATGAAGTTTTGGCTCGCAGTTTTTTTCGTTTTTTTCCTAACAAAGGCAAATGTAACATTTACAGGGAAAGATTTAGACGAATTTCCATGAGATTGTTTAAATTTGACGTGGAGTAGTACTATTAAATATAATGATTTTTAAGTCTTTAGGATACAGATTGAATTTTATGTCTGACTGCACTGATTAAAAAAGCAGTTGTTTATTTTCTGTTTTAACACACTTAAACAAATAATGAGTGAAAGAAGCATGTATGGGTGATTAATAGCCAAAAACCCCTCATTAAAAAATCATTAAACAAAAAGAATTAAAGAAAAGATGAAAAAATCAAATGGTAGAATTCTGTTGTGTCTTGTAAAACTGAGGTAGATTGATGATCAATCTACCTTGATCAATTGATGATCAATCTACAGTGTAGCTATGTGGAGGTAGATTGATCATCACAATAAGTCAACCCTTTCATTCCCAAGATCTTGTCAGTAATTCTCCTTACTGTCTGCCACAAAATTATTATGATGTTGATTCTGGTAATTTGGTTACTGCTTACTTATAATCTCCTTTGTGATATTTTCCTTTATTCTCATCACTAGACTGCTATTATAAGGAAAAATTTTGCCCTGGTCAGTTTTGGGGTAAACAGGTTAAGTTAGGTTTTTTTTTTTTAAGTTTTTGTGAATTAACCCTTTAACTCCCAGGAGTGATTAACATAAAACTTCTCCCTACAATATCCATACATTCTTCAGCAAACAGGTAATGAGAATATTCAAACTTATCAGGTAGAAGCTGCTATCTTGATCTAGCACCAAGTTCTCATAACTAATTTACAAGGTAGAGGGGAGAATTAACAATCAGATCTTGGGAGATAAAGGGTTAAAAGGAAGTACCATAATGATTTAATTTAGTGTCCTCATGCCAATTCCACTGTTGCATAGCACTTTCCAAGGGCTTTGGGAGATATATAAAACTGTATAAAAGTTGTTTGGAAATAACTCTTTATAAAAATAAGTAATTTAAAAGTTTATGTTGTTACTAAATGCTTTTTAAAAAAATGAAATTGTATATTACATTTCTCTTTTATGTCTTTCTTTCAGACAATGCTACTGTTGGCCACAACTGAGCTGATGTTTTTCTTCAGCAAACCTTCAGACCTTTACAAAAGGTAAAAAAAAAAATGGATATTGTTATCATTGTAAATAGTGATCAAATGTATTCGTATGCCTTTGGTCAAAGTAAACACAAACTGCCTGGATGGCTGGTCATTTTTTTTTGTACATGTAATTCTGGTTGAGATATGTCGTAGTTAGTAGTTTTGTAAGGACTGTTCTGTTGCACAGTTTGTTTTTTTCTATTCTCCAAAGTTGAGTTGTGAAAATCAAAATGACACAATGAATCTTCAGGAGGCAGCTTAGTTCCAGGAGGAACTATCTGAAGCTCCTCTCTAATGAATCTATGCTTTGATCCGTCTTTCAGATAGTAGAGAACTGGCTCTCCTTCATTCACAATTGATCTATCTATGTTGTTGACCTTCGTAGACTTGAAGCTCTTTTCTGTCTGCCTTCCAACTCACCAGTTCAGGGTTTTTGTTAAGATTTTTAGTAACAGGGACCTTATCCAAAGTAAGAGGGACCAAAATGGCGGCTCCGCCGCCATTTCTTGCCACATAGTGGCAAGTGGGGGTAGGTGTGGGAGGCCCCCCGGATTTTAAAATTTGAAAATTTTAGGCTCAAATGGGTGCATTTGAGGCTACTTTTGCACTCTTTCTGTTCTTATATTGGCTGATATAATATGGCATTTGTTACTATGAAACATGCAACTTGTAGTACGGATTACATACCAAAATGCTTAAGAAATTGAAAAGGTCACAGACAGGCCAACACAGACTCCCCTGTGTGGTTTTACGCTTATGACGCAAAAAGCCTTTAATTAAAGCTTCGCTCTGACGAGTATGTCTTTGAGCGATTTACCTCTTTGTATGATATAATCGAAGGCGTTTTGTAAATTGTTTTCAGCAGTGGCTGATTTTGGATGAGGTTCCATTCTTGCATCAGTATTTGTTTTAAATTTTTAACCCCTGGGTGGTATGCTGTCACAAAAGGCAATATTTTGCCTTTAGTTTTTTTGTTGTTTTAAGTGTCGACTGCCTTGCGGCAAACGAGACCTCAGATAACGTTTTTTCAATTAGGCTTTTTGGGTAACCACGTGCTTCAAGTTGTGTTTTGAAGTTACACATGGCCTCCTGGAAATTTCTTTCCGAGGAGTTTGTTCTTAGAAGTCTGATAGCTTCTCCTTTAATAAAGCCTTTCTTAACACCTGGCGGGTGGCAAGATGAATAGTGTGTATATTGAAAGGTCTCGGTCGGTTTGTAGTGAGTTTTGACGTCGAGGATAGCTTCGTTTTGGAATCTTTCACCTTTGTAGACAACCGTGTCTAAGAATGTGATTTCAGTCTCTTAGATTTCAGCCGTGAACTTTATAGTTGGATGGAACGTGTTAGCTTGTTCTATGAATAGATCAATGTCTTGTTTATGAACTGTGCAAGGCCGCCAAAGTAGATATGTCACGTAACGTTGTCACAAAGATGAGAATTGCTGTTTGACTGTTTTCTCTCGAGAGCAAATGCTAGACTGAACTGTAGCGATGGAACAAGCTGAATTTATTGCCGTTGTCTGTCGCAACACCATGAGAAACTGTGACGGAAATACGCATTTTTTTTTTCATGAGGCTTCCAGGTTTTGTAACACTATTTATTTTTGACACATTTACTCACGAATGGAGGTTATTCGATACCCCGATGACTAACTTTGGGAGTGCCGATAAATGCGTTTGTTTTGTTTCATAACGTCTCAAGTCACGAACTCCAAATTAGCTGCACGTGCACAAAATTTATCACAAGGAAACATACCCAAAAGCAGAGAAATAATACAAAATTTTATTTATTTTACCGTAATTTACGTTCAAATTTAAAATTGTCGGCTGACCATAGTCTCCACAGGAGTTTTAGTTCAAACTGAGCGTGAAAATAGCCGGGACAAAAATTAAAATAGCCGAGTAAAGGTCCCGGTGTCCCGGCCCTAACAAAAACCCTGCAGTTGCATACAAGTACCTCACATTCTTTGAGGAGTTGAATGTCCTCTCCTTCAAGCCAACATGTCTTGAATAAGGGGTTGAACTCTTTGCATCAATCACCTTTAGTTATCATTGATCGCCTCAACAGGACTCTTTCCCATTAATTGAGTCACTTCATGATTCAAAGCTGAGAGAACTTTTAGAAGTCTTTTCAACTGTTCAGTAAATCTCTTTCGGGATGGGAAATTCATCTACTGACCTGATACTGAAAACTGAACAAACCTTCACCCAAAGTTTGATGGATTTGCTCAATGATTCCTTGATCTCTGTGATGGTCCACATTCCCTCTCCTTATCCTCACATCATGCTTTTCCATTTCTTTTGTGACATCACCTATGAATTCATGTCCAGGATCGACCTTAAGAACTTTTGGCCATTTTAGTGATCCTCTCTAATAAATTCTCTAAAGAATCCCTTGAAGTTAGTGGTTCAGCATCTTTGTCATCATTTGCACTCAGAAATTTTCTTCTATATAAGAAGGGGATGGCTTGTTTTCCTTCTTCCTTTCTGATAACTAGTTTTCCTTCTTGATGGAATACCTTGGATTCTTCTCACTGCTATTGTTCTTGGCAATGGAACTGTTTGAGAACTTTTTGGTCTTGGCAAAGGGATTGTATTTTCAACCTTTTTTGTTCTTGACAAAGGGATTGGTTTCTGTCTGTTCACTACTAATTAACATGTATGGTGTTGATCTTAGTTTTTCATCCACATTCTTAATGCCAAGTGTCTTTTGTAGCTCTGGCTCTGTGAGGTACAAGGTGTTTTTCATGTTTTTTCATTTCAAAAATATCTCTCCTTTTTATTTAAGATGAAAAAAATACTTGTATTTATCATCTTCAATAAAAATGAAGAAAAACCCTTTTTCGTCAGAGGAGAAAAGTTCAGAAGAATATTCATGATTCTTAATGATAAATTTTTGGAAGGCAAGACTGTTACAGTTAAAGAATTGTGATACTGGTTACTCACTTGAACTCGACACATTGCAGAAGTTTGATATTTGCATTTGAAAATGCATTCAACTCTTTGTCTGAATACCTGAATTCAGTTCACAAATCTTGACAAGAATTTGATTACCAGAAGAACAGAGTAAAAATATGGAATGACTGATAAGATTTGAATATGATGTTGAAAATCCTATCAAATCTTATCAGTCATTCCATATTTTTACTCTGTTCTTCTGGTAATCAAATTCTTGTTATTATTTCATCATGGAAAGCTTTTTTTGATGACCAAAGGAGATAAAGGTTTCACTATTGATATCTTGAATATTCATCATAGCAAGTAGCATGTTCTGTGGTTCAGCATACTACGTGAAAGACAATAACTAGCATTCCAGATCTCTTTAGCTACTGGTAAAGTTGAGAAAAGATTTTTCATTTAGTTCAAGAGTTACAAATTGTTAGGGAGATCTGAAACGTGTCAATTACATACCTTTGGAATAATGTGTCTTTACAATGTACACACTTATGTCTTGAGATGACCAAAGAAAAGCCGTGATTCAGTTGCTTGTCAAATGTGACTCTTAACTCTTTCTGCTGAATGTTCACAGAAAACCAAGTTTTTTTCTGATAGTCTTTCTTGATCTGTTCCTTCAGAGTTTTGAGATCAACTTTCTCACTGTTTTTAGGAGAGTGTTGTCTGAGCTTCTCTTTCAAAACATGATATTGCTCAAACTCAGGCAATATCGAGTTGAAATTCAATATCTAAGATCATGGTGGATTGTTATCATGAAGAATAATTTACTGCTTCAAAAGGTTTTTCTCTGACATCAAACATCCCAAAACGATTGAAATATCTCCATGAAAGTGACTGTTGTCTTTGTCTAAGAGATCAGTTTATTATGTAGCTGTTCAGTGAAGCCAATTGACAGATCATATTGTCTCCTTGTTGCTAATGACAACCAATCCCCAGTTGTGAAAAAAGATCTGTATCTAAGGAGTTTAAAATTCTGAGAGCATTTTTCAATGAATTCATCAAAATTTTTAGTCCCTCTTTATCCAATGTATTTCCGCGGGCTTTTTGCAAGACTTTCAATATTTTAGTTTCCAGCAGGAATTGTTTCAGCAGAGAATTGTCTTGTACATCATCAAAGCTTGGAAAAATTCAGGCTTTTTGTTGGGATTCTAACCTGCGATATGTCTTGAATGTAAGGCAGATGCCATACTGTCATGTGAACTTTTTTGCAGGGACTACATATTTCATTTCTGTTGCAATGACTTTGAAGACAGTACTTCCTAATTTTTTTTTCCTTAAGATGTGAATTGAACTTGTCTGTACTTAATTTCAGAAGGATAGATGGTAAATGTAACTTCTTTTTCTTGTTTTCTTGTTTCAGTGAGGACTTTGGAAAAACTTTCAAACATGTGAATGCTGAAGTTTTTAATATGCATATCAGAAAAGACAGTGGAATCTTAAAAAGCTCAGTTAACCCTAATAAGGTTAGTAACTCTCCCATCTTGTGTCTCTACATTTCCTTGTTAATTATGGCCAAGTTGAAATAATAGGGTAATTTAGCATTCTCAACTGAGTTGATGATGTAAATTTGGCCACCATTAAGAGTTTTAAAGCTGACGGTTTGAGCATTAGCCCTTTGTTATTTGCTTTGATGAAAATGTCAGCTTTTAAACTCTTTATGGTGGCCAATTTATGTTATCATCTCAGTTGATTATGCTAAATTACCCTGTTGTACACAGCACCTCAGTTTCTCTAGAAACTTACCACTTTCATTAAGTTGAGAGAATGTTGTATTTTATCAAGAAAACCCTTAAATGACTAGTTTGTCTATTCTTATGACCTGTTTCTATATTAAGTATTGATCTTGCAAGGAGAAGCTGCACATTGATCATGAAGTGGGTTTGATTTCTTGGGGAGACTGAACAATTTTGTTTGTTCCACACTTTTGACAAGACAAATAACAGCTTCCTTTACTGAGCTATTGTCATTTCCACTGTCACCTCAGTCTGAATACTAACTGGGACTTAAACCCTTCAACACCCAAGATTTGATTATTAATTCTCCCCTCTAGCTGCTCACATTTCCTTGTAAATTAGTTAGGAGAATTTGGTTTAGATCAAGACAAAAATTTCTACCTGATAATTGTTTAGTATTCTATTCCTTTCCTGCTAATTAATGTATGGATATCATGTATTAGGGAGAAGTGGCATGTTTTAAAATCACATCTGGGAGTTTACAGTTGAATGTGCTATTTACCATTATACCACATTATCATCAACTTATTTAGCTGTTCTCTTGACTGATGCTTTGATTCTGTTTATTTTTATTTGTAGGTTATTCTAGTTTCCCATAGCATTCCATTTTTCCCAACACAATCTGGCCTGGTTATCACCAAAAATGGGGGAAAAAGTTGGGAGAAGATGAAAGTTCCATTTCAGATCAGTGGACCACTTCTGTTTCATCCATGGAAGGAAGATTGGATCTTGGCAAGGGCTGTTGTTAATGGGATGGTAAGAAGGTTTGACTGTCAGATTGTCATTAATGAGTTACTGATGGCTTTTCAAGAACTTTCTAATTAACTGACTCAGACCAACTTTGTAAGTGACTTGCTCAATAACTGATGGCATGAGTGAATGACTCACTGACTGATTCTTTTGGCTGACTAACTTACTGACTGACTTATAGACTGACTGACTTACATACATACTGATTGACCGACAGACTTACATATTGACTGACTGACTTACAGATTGACTGACTGACTGATTGACCTGTAGATTGACCGACTGACTTACAAATTGACTGACTGACTGATTGACCTGCAGATTGACCGACTGACTTACAAATTGATTGACTGACTGACTTACAAATTGATTGACTGACTTACTTACTGAATGACTTGCAAATTGACTAACTGACTAACAGATTGACTGATTGACTGACTTACTGAATGAGCAGCAGATTGACTTGCTGACTTACAGGCTGATTGACTGATTTAAAGAGTGATCAATTGTGTGACTCACTGAATGACTGACTGACTTCCCAACTTGCAGATTGACTAACTGACCTATAGATTGACTGACTGACTGATTTATTGAATGACCTGCAGATTGTCTAACTGACTTACTGATTGACTGACTGACTTACAGATTGACTGACTGACTTACAGATTGACTGACTGACTTACAGACAGACATACTGATTAAGAGAGTGATCCATTGTGTGACTCACTGAATGACTGATTTATTAAGATCACTTCCTTGAATTTTGTTGCTGTCAAACAGGCCAACTTAAATGCAAAATTTGCATCAACAAACCATCTTGTCTCCTTTATATTTTATAGGCATATTTATCAACAGACTTTGGACAGAACTGGAAATTTTTACAGAGTTATGTTAGGAGCTTAAAATGGTAAGAGAAAAGGCGAGATGTTAGTTCAAAAATTTCCAAGCAAGTTCAAGTTTTAGGTTTCTTTGTTTTATTGAAGTTGTTTGAAACAAATGAAAATGAAAATCAAACTGGGGTGAACATGTTTATTAAAAGAGGCAGGGAGAAATTTGAACTGGAACATACACTGTTTGTGTATACCCAACTAGATGTCATCTTTATGTCAGAGGAACTTTTAAATGTTGTTGTTTTGATTTGGTCTTAGGGGTGCCATCACAGATATGAAAAAGGAAGAAAACACAATTTTAATGACAGTCTCATCCAGTGAGTAACCTTTTGGTGACTGTGCATTAATCAGCTTGTAAACATGTAGCTACTTTGAATTGTTTGATCTATTGTGTTTGTTGTCTTGCAGTTCTGGAAATAGCTTGTTATTTTAAAGGGGTGATAATGATATTTTGAAATGTCATAGCTTTTGGAAAAGGTTCAAAACATTTTTTTAAATTCTCGTCAACCTCTTATGAGTCCCAAAGTTTTGTGCACAGAGGGTTGTATCTTGGTCTTGAAGTCTTGCACTTGTTTTATACAGTGAACAGAAAGCTCCATTAGTTAATCACAAATCTGGAAAAAATTCACATAATTTCAAAACTCCTATCCATGTTGAGCAGAGAACAGAAAATTATTTTCTTAAGTTGCCATGCATGTATCTGCCTTGATAATATTATGGGCAATGACCAATCAAAGTGCATGCAGTATTCCATTTTATGTTTTGTGTAAATGTAATGTTGCCAATAGATCAGTTTTAATCGAAGAAAGTGTTTAATTTTATTGATACTGTAATCATATGTGTCTTTAAAATAAACAGATGCTAATAGCTTCCTAAAAGGAGAAGCCAAGTTGCTTAGATCAAGGGACCTTGGAGAAAAGTTTGAATGTAAGTTTTAAAAAATAGCTTTAAATGATAAGATATTTTTGATGACCCAGACATTACCTACAGAACAAGTTAGAAGAATAATTTCTGCTCTCTTTCAACCTAGTCCATACACTTTGAAAAAATTCTTCCTTTTTGTGATATGATGTAGTCAGTTCTGTTGAAGATCACAAGGCTTTGACTGCATAGGCCTCGTGTCTCTTCGTCAATTGATTCAGTTGGTAAGATTGATAGATCAGACATTATACGTTATACAGTATGCTTTGCTCATAGTGGAGCTATTATTGATAGCTGAAATGTAGATTAACCATTTTATCTAGAAGTGATCAACATGCAACTTCTCCCTGTAACATCCATATTTAATCCAGTTGACAGGTAATGAGAATATTCAAACTTATCAGGTAGAAGTTGATGTCTTGATCTACCTTAGCACCAAATTCTCGTATCTAATTTACAAGGAAATGTTTAGAGGCTAGAGGAGAGAATTAACAATCAGATATTGAGAGTTGAAGGGTTAAGACTTTACATTTGGACGATTTTCACTTCACTTTTTTTGTGATTTGCTTGCTTCTCTTAGCTATCCACGTTCAGCATGTTTACTCCTTTGGACTTCAGGGCCACTTCCTCTTTGTCTCTGTGCGCCACAATATGGTATGTTAATCCTATTCTTTACATGATGTATTACATCCATTTTGAAATCACTGTGATCTTTGCAATCTGATTGGCTCTCATTGCTGCAATTTATTCTCGAATTGCACCAAGTTCGAGACTTTTCAAAGGCGCAATGTGGTGACGGGGAATCAAGAAATGATTGCCAGTAGAAAAATTTTAATCATTGGTCGCTGGCAATCTACTTTGTTTGTCAGCGTCGTTGGAAAAATATAACAGGATAATTTAGTATTATCAACTGAGTTGATAACGTAAATTGGCCACCTTAAAGAATTTCAAAGGTGGCATTTCGAGCGTTAGCCCTTCGTCATAGCGAAATATATTTTGAAGGCTCACGTGACTTCTTACGACTTTTAAAACCCTTAAGCTTCACAGAAAACTGATGAAACATGAGCCCCTATTCCCGGAACCCAACCGGGACTGAAGGACTTAAATGTCTAGCTTTTACCATGTCTTGATTAATGTCTTTTATCTCAAAAAATATGGAGCGTGAGACAAAACATTTCAATAAAAAGTGTTCAGCAAGAAATAATCTTCAATTATAGAACTTAATTTGAAACAGCGAACAATTAATCGCGGATTGAATATAGAACAACTGGGAAAACTTCCATTATTTACACTATACTTGGCAATTGCTTGGGACATCTGAAGAGAAGGAGGTGCCGACAACGCGTTGGTGATAATTATACGTATAGTTTTTTCTTTAACTAATTCTTGAAAATTATCAAAAAATTGTCTTGATCGCCAAACACCGGCCACCAATTTGCCAACTTTCACTGCAAATTTAGTGATCAATACTACGTACTTTGTTTACCAAAATGGTGTTAGTTTGGAGTGTTATAGACCCATTTATTATTTATTCATAAATTTTTAATTTACTGTCCTTCTTTTCAGAATAACAATTCCCGCACCATGCATGTGTCTAAGAATGGAGGAGATTCATGGGACCCTGTACAAGTGCCAACTGTAACGCCAGAAAGGGTATTGTCGCTTATCATTGAAACATGCGTGTTATTTATAGAGCAATAGCCTGCAGAGCAGGCGTAATTTTGATGAGGGAGTGCTTAGTATTTTCTCAGCGAAAATTATGGCCGCCATCTTTGATTTTAATGGCAACGGAAGGTTGGGGAGAGAAAGAAATTTGTACTAAGTGGGCGGTTGACGGTCAAAAATAAGGAGAGGGGTGGGGGTGGGGGTGGGGGAGTGAAGATTACGGCGTCTTTTCGCCCATCCCCTGCCTATCCCCCCACTGTCCACTCTAGCTCCAAATCAAATATGGCCGGTTGGATAAACGATCGCGATAAGGTTAGCTCGCCAAATAAGACGCCTGCACTGCAGGCTCATCAAGTTAGAGCTAGGCTGTCCATGAGTTTGAAACTGGAAGGCAAAGACGACAAAGAAATTTGCCTTCAAGTTATTGTGGACGTTACTTATCAAATCACACTTACATGTCTCATGTAAGACGGCAAACTGTTAAGTTAAAATGTGTCAGGCATTCCACTGAGTTTGCAGGAGCTTAGAGAAAATTCTGAGCGAGGAACTATGCTCTCAAAACTGAAAAATAACCGCATTGTGAATTTCTTTGATGTTATTTTAATTATTGTAAGATTTTATCAGTAATTAGGGTGAAATAAGATGAACATAGCTGGCTTAAGACGCCAGACAAGCCTGCAGTTTTGGCTAGCTATCAGTTCTTATTTTGACCGTTGTGAGACTTTAACCAAGTTATCTTTATCTTTTTAACCTTTTAACCCCTAAGAGTGACGGACATCTAATTTCTCCTTACAATATCACCCATAAATCAAACATAAAGGTCATGAGAATAAAGGAAAGGATCACCACCTAAAGAATCTCTTGATTGTTGAACAAATTCTCCTTGTCAGAACCCTAGGAAATGTCCAGAGAGTAGTGTGGAGAATATGCATACTGATGTTAGGGAGTGACATGGCCTTGGTTGGCCAATTATCTTGTCTGCTGACAACCAGTTGTCTATACAAGTTCTATTTATGCCACATTCAAATCCTTTATCAGAGAAAATCTTGAATATCAAATTAAGTGTCCTGTCATTATCTACAGGAAAAACTATTTTCATGTTAAGGACACGGTAGACCTTTGCGGGTGTCCTTCGCCAAAAAAAGTATTGTCAACTCGCTATTTAAAGTGTAACCGCCATAAACTATAAATCAATGGAAAGGTTATGAAATGTGCCATCCGGCAAAATTGTTCGGTTTTAGCTTTTGATCGAATCGCAAAACGACTGTAGCCCGTAGCCACTCAAGTTGATCATTCCTTTTTTCTTGCACAGTTTTATTCCATCATGGACATGTCGGAAGGAATGATTTTTCTTCATGTTGATGATCCTGGAGGTTTGTTACGTTCATTCATCTTAAATTCTACTTTATTTTTATTTGCCAGTGTATCTTTTGTTTTGTTGTATAAATAATCTTGCAATTATGTGAAGGAACAGGAATGGCACAGTGGTGAGAGCGCTCGTCTCCCACCGCGGGGCTTGGGTTCCATTCCCTGGACCTGGTGTCACATGTGGTTTGAATTTGTTGTTGGTTCTCTCCCTTGCTTCAATAGCCTGCAGAGCAGGCGTCATTTCGGAGAGCGAGTGCTCAGTATTTTCTCAGCGAAAATTATGGCTGCCATCTTTGATTTAAATGGCAGAGGAAGGCTGGGAAGAGAAAAAAAGTTGTACCAAGGGGTGAGTGACAGTCAAAAATAAGAAGAGGAGTGGGGGTGGGGGAGTGAATATTTTTCGCCCTTCCCTGCTCCTTCCCCCCACGGCCGTCTGTATCTCCAAATCGGACATGGTTGAATAGACGATCGCAAGATTCGTAACGTTAACTCGCCCTAATAAGACACCTGCACTACAGGTTATTGCTTGAAGAGTTTTTCTCCGCGTCTTTCAGTTTTCCTCCCTCCCAACCAACAATCTAATTCCAATTCAACCTGGAAAGGGTGGACAAGAAGAGCAACCCTGCTAAATTCCAATTATAATAATTCCAGTCATTTTTATTATAATTATTATTACTATTATTATTGTAATTCTTATTATTTCTAATGTAATAACGGTATTTCAATTTTAGATACTGGTAGAGGAGTGTTGTACACCTCAGATGCTGATGGAATTGTGTTCGGTGAATCGCTCCGAGACCATGTGGTACGTTAAGCAGGTGTCTCTTTTATAGCGGAGCTCGCAGAGCGTAGCGCCATAATTATACAAAATAGTAGTAACCCATCAAGCCGAAAAAAATTTGGATGTATGACTGTACGACCGTACAAGGTACTACTTTTAACATGCATGGTCAACTGTACCGCAGGCACGCCAACGCCACGGCTTTGTCCAGTAGTCCAGTGGTCAGTGCACTGGGCTCCGAGTCGGACGACCTGGGTTGTAGTCCTGGCCGGGGCAAGGCGTTGTGCCCTTGAGACGTGTGGGTAAAAAAAAATGCGAGCTCCGCTTTTAGGCTTGGCTAAATCTATATATTAATCTAAATGTACTAGATTGAAAAGAAAATCATTTATGGCCCATAGTAGCTTTCCTCCATTGAACCATTTGACCCCAACGAGTGACTAGCATCTAATTTCTCCTTACAATATCACCACTGAATTAAACATTAAGGTCATGAGAATAAAGGAAATGATCACCAAGTAAAGAAGCTCTTGATTGTTAAGCAGATTCTCCTTGTAAGCAGCTTAGAAAATGTAAAGAGAACAGTATGGAGAATGTGCATCTTGATATTAGGCTGTAAAGGGTTAACCCTTTCGCTCCCAGGAGTGGCTAAAAATGAAATTTCTCCTTGAAATGCCAATAGGTTTTTAAGCAGAAAGTTATTGAGGAGAAACTAGGAGACATGTTTGATTAAACGCCAAATTCTTCGCACTCAAATGGTGAGAAATTTTTGGAAGATAGTGCAGAGACTTGATGGTTAGATCTTGGGAGTGTAAAAATCAACCCACTTGTAGCCAAATTGTTAAAGAAGGTTTTTTTGTTTGTTTGTTTGTTAGTACACAAACTATGGGGAGGTAACCGATTTCTACAAAGTGGAATCAATGAGAGGCACTTACTTAACAGGCCGCATGAACCAAGGTAAGCATCGTAATATTTAATAAACCCTGAAGCTAAAGTCTTGCAATAGAATTTTCTAAACGCTTGATTTATAGACAGTACTTGGATCTACACTATGATGTACAAACTCGCGCGTTGGTATGTACTAGAAAAATTGTCAGGGCAAATTTGTTGAATTTTCTTTGGGGTAGTTGATCCGCTATTGGCAAAGCTTCAACTTCTTACACAAACGTTGAGACACCCCGAAAAATAACAGTGTTGTTCATCAAAATTGATTATCAATGAAACAGTGGCAACAAATGAGGACATTTTAAAAGTGACCCTGATAACAGAATCGGCTCTGTAAGCTTATGTTTTTACATCGTTATTTAGTCATGACATTTACAGTGTATAAAGATATTGTGATACCAGGAAATATGCATACCTGGTGATGGAAGTAGTTTTTTTTCTCGAAGTGATGAGGAACAGCTACTCAGATAGAAGAATTCCGTTCGAAAATGATGACCCGTTTATATTTTCCGAGTACGAACACGTATACACATGTAACAGTACCTTGATAAGGTCGGCTTGCAACGAACAAGTCTTCATGTAGTTCATGGAGTTGTAGTATTTTAGTGCGGTCAGTCTCTTCTTTAAAACAACTACGTGTCAATAATGGAAAAGCAATAAGCTAGCTCACACGTACTAATGAGACAGACGCGTATGTCCTTAGGTGCGTATATGAGCAGTTTATACGCGAATACGCTGATATTTATACGCACATACACTTGCATTTATAAGCATATTATGTCGGTTGACGTAATTCTAAGCGGTATTGAGTTTTGACAAAGTATGAAATCCTTGAAGAAATTGTAAGTGGGAAATGAACAACCCAGTAGGTTATTTCCTAGTTTTAAAAACGCCAACTTTCGGAAAAAGGAGGAAGAAAAAGCTTTTTTTTTCCTTCTTTTGAAAGTGAGTTTTTTATGCATGAAAACGAAATATCATTACAATTACCTTCGTTTTAAAGCACAGGCTTTGAGCATCACGGAAATGGCTTAGATACCGTTAGCAGTAAATTTTTGATGAACTTTCACATATCAGGGGAGTAGGGGTGGCGCAGTGGTGAGAGCGCTCGTCTTCCCCTACCGTGGCCCGGGTTCGATTCCGGGCCCTGGCGTCCCATGTAGGTTGAGTTTGTCGTTGGTACTTGTCCTTGCTCTGAGGGTTTTTCTCCGCGTCCTCCGGTTTTCCTCCTTCCACAGACACTAATATTCCAATTTCAGTTTCGACTTGGAAACAGTGGATAAGCAGCGCCATCTCGTGCAATGTCCATTACTAAATTCTAATTTATTTCCACGAACTGTTTATTTTACACGTATATTTATTTGTTCTCCATTTCTTTGTAACTCCTCAGACAAGAGTATAACGTCAATGATTAGTTTTAACCGTGGTGGTGAGTGGAGCACTATTCCCTTGGCGGATGAACAATGCAAGAACGTCAAGCGAGAGGTATTTCATGAGCACCTCGTGTACAATAACGCCATAGGCTGATACGGTTCTCTGTTCAGTTACGTTCTGGTCAACAACTAGATTAGAGCAGTTTTCGAAATTGAGTGTCGTAAAACCAAAAGCAAAGTAATCCCAGTGACTCAGAGTAATCCTAGTGAAAGCAAGCAAATTGGTCAAGCGCGGGAAAACGCGGACGACCAAGCCCCGATTATTTTTAGTTTGGCTTTTGATTGGTTGAAAGGATGGCGCGAGTTTTCTGGACCAATCGCAAGGCAAAGTTAAGTAAAACCTTTGCAATCCCAGAATACTTTCGACACTCCATTGAAAATTGCTCTATCAGCGTAAGATAACTGTTGCTCAGTTTTTTTCAGTTATGAGGATTGAATTCATAAGGGCGACAGGAACGTAGTGATTTTCACGCTTTGTAGTTCAACCCACGTGGGTCTTTGTGAATGCTTTTTTGCCCGGGGCACAAAATGGAAGATTCAGTCAAATTTCTGGCAAATGTGTGATCGAGAACGCTTGACAAATTTGAGAACTGGCTGCCTCCGAGAAAGCTTTTAAACGACATTCGACTTAGAGGAAAAACTGTTGTTAGCAAAATGTTCGTTCGATCATAGAAGTGGTTACTTAATAGGATAGCCGTTAACCCTTTAACCCCAAAGAGTGACTGGCTTCTAAATTCTCCTTACTATATCAGGCCTGAATCAAACAGTAAGGTCATGAGAATTAAAGAAACGATCACCCATTCAAGATGCTCTTGATTGGTCAACAAATTCTCCTTAAAGTACCATAGGAAATGTTTAGAGAACAGTGTGGAGAGTGTGCATGCTGATGTTAGGGTGAAAAGGTTTAGGAGAAAGTATACTGTATATGCACAGTAGCGCAGAAAAAAACTATTTTGTTTTATTGTATTCAGAATGAAAACTTTTGATTGTGAATCTATCAGCCAGGTGAGAAGTGCTCTCTTCAAATCCATGGCCGTTTCAGTCGAAGCAGAGGTGTAGAGTTTGCCATGGGTCCCTTGAGCATTCCTAACGCGGTTGGTATCATACTTGCTCATGGTAATGCGGGTAGTGCCTTGAACAGAAACGTGGACGTGTGGATGACACGTGACGGAGGGTACACGTGGAATAAGGTAGGTTCAAGTGAAGACCAGGTCTCCTTTGCGGCCTTTGATTGGTCACGTCACGCAGCGCTTTATTGCGAGAGTGAGTTGCGTGACGGAACTAAATGATGGCTGCAAAGGATGCTAATATTGTTCAGAAGTTTGTTTTTCTCTCTGGATCGAATGAAAGCTACAGACGGGAAAAGATTGGGAAGAGATTGATATCTCCCCAGCCCTTTCTGTAAACAGGTTATAAACAGTACAAACAGTGCACAAATAGTGGTCTTTCGCAACATGGGTCCCTTGGGTCTTCCCGCGCTTCAGGGGGTTGGTTTCTTTTTACTTTGAGTACAGTGTGGCTCCTGGAAAAGTTTTTCGCTTTTTTCTGATTCGTCGTTGTGATTGCGTGGGTATAGGTTTTCCTTTTCTTAGCTCTTTGATTGGTTCAGAAAAATCGCGCCACTCTCTCAACCAATCAGATGCGAAACTAAAAAAAATCCCAATTTGGTCGTCCGCGTTTTTCCCGCGCTTCAGGCAGTTTGCTTGTTTTCAATTTGAGTTCTCGTTGGCTCTTAAAGGTATTTTCTTTTCTTCTGTTTGACGACATCTAATCGAAAAGTGCTCTAAAACACTCAATCGCAAAGCGTTGCATTAGTGATATTTGTTGTTTGTAGGTTCTGGATGGCTCGCACCATTACTCCATTGGAGATCATGGAAACTTGATCGTGGCTGTACCAGCTTTCAACTCTGCCACAAAATATCTCATGTGAGTAATGTTAGTAGTAAGGTTAACAAGTGATGAATAACATCATCGCTTTATCCACTTCAAGGGTTTTTGTAAAGATTTACAACAAAGCACCAATTTAAAAGTAGGAAGGATCAAACTTGTGGCCTGTTCTTGTCACAGTGCAAGAGCGAGGGATGGGGTGGGAGGGCAGGGGGGACTTTAGCTAAGGCTTTCGAAACCGTCTTCTCCAGGACTCTTCTCACCCAGACGATCAGACTTCACGATCAGCTATTATCCCATTTACTGAAGGAGACTCGTTGAGGGAAAAACTGCTGGGACAAAATTTTGCGGAGTAGCGTGTTCCAGACGTTCGGTTGGTGAACGGAGCGAATAATAAACGGCGTGATAATAGCGGCAGAGCGAAAACGAGGGAAGTTCCGATCGGTTCGCGTAGAGAATGTAGTTCATTACGAGACCCGACCCAACCTCCCTCGTTTTTAACTCAAGCCAGGGCTCGAAATTAGCACTCGCAAACTCGCGAAATGCGAGTGGTTTTTCGAAGTTGCGAGTCTAAAAAATATCCTCTAGCAAACATTTGCTAGTTAGGTTCCTTCTTTTGCTAGTAAAAAAAATCTTACTAGCAAAACTTTGCTAGTAGACAAAAAAGTTAAGTTCGAGCCCTGCAAGCCAGTTTTTATTTTACTCCTCCGCTACATTCGCGCTGTTAACAATCGCGCTTCGTTTTCTTAACCCTTTACACCCTAACATCAGCATGCATATTCTCCATACTTTTCTTATACATTTCTAAGGGTTCTGAAAAGAAGAATTTGTTTAAGAATCAAGAGTTTCCTGCGTTGTTGATCATTTCCATAATTCTCATGACCTTAATGTTTTATTCAGGGATGATATTGTAAGAAGAAATTAGATGCCAGTCACTCTTAGGGGTTAAAGGGTTAACTGACTGCTTGTTGTTAGAGTGCAATTGCTGACTGAAAATGTTTGTTATAAATATTCCTTCACGGAGGAAATTATTGACAGATTCATGTTTGGAATTTTTTTCAGGTATTCAGTGAACGAGGGCCGCTGTTGGTTCAAGCATCCTTTTACAAACCGCGACTTCACTGTCACCGGGTTGGTCACAGAGCCGGGTGGAAAAACAATGAGGTTCAGTTTGTGGGGATTTACTTTACCTTCAAGAGAGTGGCAGGTTATCACTGTGGACTTTGAGAACGTACTCAAAAGAGCTTGTAAGTTGCCAAAGTTTGCTGGTTTTCGGTGAGACTCCGCGCGCCTTGCCTAAGAACAGAAGGTGATAAATACCATTGAGATTTCAGGAAGGGGTACGTTTTGTGGTTGGTCCAGAAAACACGCGCCTCTTTCTCAACTAATGGCGTTATGGCCACTCGCGTTTTCCCTTGCGTTACTTCGCCCGCCGATTGGTCCAGAAATCACGCACCACCATCTCGACCAATCAGATACAAAGCTAAAACCAATCGCGTCCTGGCCACCCGTGTTTTCCCGCGGTTTAATTCGGTCGGTGATTGGACAAGAAATTTCCTGCCCAATTTCGAACAAAATGTAGAAAACATTTAAAAAGGCTTAACTTTTCTTAAAAAGTTAAAAATTTTTATTGATGGTGAATGTTTTTAAGCAGGGTTGCCCTTTTTTTGTTTTGGCGTTGCTGCACAAACAAAGAATTTAATTTGGCCGATTCGTGCGTTTTACAGGTTATATTAATGATAACTGAACACTAAAATGGCTTCCTAAGAAGTTGCGCAACTGTGTTCGTTGTCAATCTTTCTTATAAAAGAAAATTTTGGCTGTTTTATTGTAAACAAGTAAGCGCTTGTTTCCTCTTAAAGTTAGGGATTAATTGTGTTTTCAGAAGTTGCAGAAATCAATCCTTAATTTTACTCGGCCTCATGCGATTACATACTCCAATCAATTGCAACTTCGTATTCTCTCGTGTTTCCCGCGCTCGGAGCCGGTCACATGTATTTACCCTGAATCCTTATTGGCTTTCTTTTCCATTTCCCTTTGCTTTGATTGGCCGTTGAAATCATTTGAAATGGCTCCTGATGGATGTTGTTGTTCTCTAGGTAAAGACGACGATTACGAAAAGTGGATACCTCACGGTAAAGGGGCGAAAAACGGATGCTTGCTGGGTAGAAAAGTTTACATTCTAAGACCAAAGAAAGAGAGTCTGTAAGGAAATAATTTTGACTTTTATCTACATACATGACCGTACGGTCTCCTCTCTGATGCCTAAAGATATAAAACTCCAGCGTTAAAACGCATTTTCAAAGGTAAAGCAACAGAGCGGTCAAACATTGGGCATGCGCAAGGGGATCAATTTTGACCGGACGCGCGTTAATTTCCCGCGTAAAATTTCAAATAGAAATGTTTAAGAAAGAAGCGTTGACACGCCAGATACGCGAAACTTAGTACTAGAGGAAAGGTATAGACAGCAGATCTCGTTAGTTATTCTCCTTACTGTTAGCCATACAATTCTGATGATGTTAGTTCGGAGAAATTGGTATTGGATCAAATAATAATCCCCTAATTGATATTTTTCTCCTTTCTCATCACTTGTCGTCTTAATGTTGTATTGATGTTCTAAGGAGAAATTCTGTCTTGGTCACTCATGAGATTTAGAGGGTTTAAGGTTGTTCACGAGGGGTAGTTAGCTAAAGTATTTTAACTGTTGTTTGTTGCAGTTGTTTTAATGGAGTGGATTATATCCATCATGAAAAAAGTGAATGCTGTGAGTGTACACACGATGATATTGAATGGTAAGGCAGCAAAGAGTGCAAGGGAACATATCATAGTTTGTTCCAGGCGTTCAGTTTGTGAAACGGAGCGAAATAATGAACGCCGCGATAGTCACGGGGGAGTTAAAAAAACGGGGGAGGTTTGGGTCGAGTGGCATTGCGCTACCCGACCCAGACTTCCCTTGTTTTTCAATTTTCTGTTTCTATTGCGCCATTTACCATCTTGTTTCGTTTTGTTAACTGAATGCCTGGAGCTGGCTAAAGATATCAGAGCTCATGCAGAATCTTCGAAAACAACGTAACCAATATATATATATATATATATATATGTTATGGTTCTACCCTAATTGTTTGTGCAATTTGTTGAATTCCAGTTAATTTTAATAACTCTCTCTGGAGGGCTCTAGTGTATGTGGAGTAGTGGAGGGAAAAACCAATGGGCAAATACGAAACATGAAAGCCGCACACGGAGTGGGGTCGAAATGACGTGTGATACTCCTCGCTCCCAGTTTCCACGCTGTTTCTTAAATGTTGTTGTTTTTTTTTCACCTGCTCAACGGAAATAGTCTGAAACGAAGGAATGTTCATGTTTTAGTTATGAACTGAATTGCGCCCCCGCAAACCCCGTGGAATACCCTTCATTAAACATTTTATTGCCGCGTTGATGGATTTGCCAATATTTTGTTCTTTTCGTTTTTTCTTTTTCCTCAGCGACTACGGCTATCATCCAAATGGAAATGATTGCGTGAGGGACGAACATAAACCTCCAGAGCTTTGTATACATGGTGACGTGGAAACAGACAATTTAGGGTCAGTAAGGCTTGTGTTGTGTGATTTTGCGGTATGACACTGCGCATCCATATGGCGCATAGATTCACGCGTGACCAGAGTGACGAATTATGGTATATTGTGGCTTTGTCGCGACAATAGCAAATCAGTATTGTGATTATGCTGTTTTAAAAAATTCATGTCGTGACTGATCTTTGTCAGTTTGGCTTGTGTGTTGCTTGATAAATGAAACTATTGGATCTGAAGAAAATTTGGCTGCTAGTGACGTCATCTAGGCCGTCGTCTGTGCCGTCAACTGGTCTCCAATAGATCATAGATAAGAACCAATAAAACTGCCTGTATAATTCAGCTAAATATATAATATAATTTGTTGTAGATATCGACGTATTCCAGGTGATCAGTGCTGTGGAGGTGATCCTATTGTGAATAAGTATTTAGACTCACAGCAGCTCTGTAAAAATGCTTCATGGTACGAATACGGGATGAATTATGACTATGAGGCAAAATTTGCAAAGAAGGTAAGGACGCCGTTTTTTTATATTATTTTATTCAATCGCTTGGGAGCGGGTCTTTATTGTGAGCGCTACGGCACCAGTCTTTTTTTCACCCGCAGGAAAAGTATAACGGCTTCAGCAACGCGAGCTGGCGAGAGGTCTGCAGGGGGTCTGGTACTGATGATGATTATTAGTGCCAGACCCCTTGCATACTTCTCCTCGACGCGTCTGAAATCTACAGGGCTCATAATGAATAATGAATATTCGAAGAGTTTAAGGATTTCCACTTCAGAGGAAATCCTTTAGTATCTAACTTTTTTTAACTTTGTCGTTAGATCGCCGTGGACTTTTTTATACTGCATATTATGTTTCACTGCCGAGCTATAAAATTTATCATTATTTTATTTACTCGAGGCTTTCGACATTGTCGATCCTAGCAGTATGCATGACGTGTTTCCATATGAATCAAATATTGGCCTAGCTAACCTTAGCTTGAGATCAGGCCCTCATTATTGGCGCTGCAGGACGCGCTTTTCTCTGTCCGCGGAAAGATTTGAGACGACTCGGAGAGAAGTGTGAAGGGGGTCTGGCACTAAAAACTTATTATAAGTTCCAGACCCTCTCGGCCCACGTTCCTCAAGGTCATATCCTTCCCACGGACGAAGAAACGGTCATGCTCAAGCACTATTCGGCAGGCTAAGGTCATCTTAGACTGAATGTTTCTAGTGGTCATAGTTCTTTTCCCCGTTTACTTGCCACTCACTCACGCATCACAGATACCGAGGCAGTGTTTCAACATAGTTAAACGGAATTCTTGATATATTAACCCTTTCAATCCCTGGAGTGACCAAATATGAGTTTCTCCTTACAATACCAATACATTTTTAAGCAGAAGGGTGACGAGAAGTAAAGAACTTATCAAGCATGGGATACCATTTGAGTTCACACCAAATTCTCAGACTTAAAATTATAAAAAATATACGACAGACAGTGTGGAGAATCAATCATCAGATCTTTTTCTTTTCTATCTGTAGAAGGCGCACAGTAAAGGTGCGGTATGGATAGTCTTTCCTATGGTTTTGATTTTGATTGTGGCCGCTGTATACTTTGGCAGAAAATACTGGAAGGTTCATAAAATGTAAGTGCATTTTTATCTTACACGATGTGATATAACCTCTGTTTCAGATAATCTCTATTCAATGGAAATTTTATTTAAATCAAACAAACTTGAATTCCAACCGTGAAAAAAAAAATTAAAAAATGTGTACCAAGTTTGCTCATCGTATGATCCTGTCGTCCTCAGTCACACAATCGTACGGAATTACAAAATTGAAAAGGATAAAGGAAAAATCTCCAATAAGTTACTTGCAGTGCCCCCTTTCCTCCTAAACAATATTGCCTGAAATTAGTGACCATTTTGTTAACTCCAAGTAACACTGAAATGGGAGAGAGGGAGATGGAAATAAAGGTTTTGGAAAAAAAATCTTGAAAGTAGTGGTGCGTGCCAAGAATTTTCCAACTTATTGTAACCTGGAGCATCTTGAGGAAATGTCGCATTACAACTTTTGTTTTGTATCATTGCAGCCGCCCCTCTTATCGCTACTCTAAACTTTCTCAAGACGACGTGGAAGAAATGGAGGGCTCTGAGAGTTTCAAGTATGATCCCAGACCCAAAGGATTGCGGGCGTATCGAGATTGTGATACCAGTGATGATGTAAGTGCTGCCTTTGCTCTTTTCGTATCATGAAGACGAATGCTTTTTTTTGAGAGGTGAAAGGGGGGGCAGGCTGGAAGAATTTGGTTGTATCGCTATAAATTGTGCTTGATCCCTCTCCCCCCCTCCCCAGTCAATTTTCTTTAGTCCTCCCTTTATACTCTGACGAATTTCAGATAGGGGTTTCCCTTGAGTAGTAAGTTTCAATCCTGCCCCATTGGAAGGGAGGTGGTAAGAGATTGAGGGAGGGGGTAGTGGTGGGGTTTACAGAGAGAATTCCAGCGCTCACGGAACCACTCAGGTTTGTAACGAAATCTTCATTTAACTTCCACAGGATGCAGCAATGATCGACCTGTGAGCCTGATGTGGAAGCTTTCTGACACCAAGATGTACATATAGTTTAAGCATAATGATAATTGTAGACTAGAAACATCTGGCAAAATGCATGTCATCCTAGGCAATAATAGACGTAAAGGAAGGATCACTGTCAGTGGCTAAGCAACTGCAGACCAACCCCTCCCCCAACATTAGCCTTAATTTGTTATCGGTTGAATGTTTTTGGAATAGGGGAGGGGTAGGTGCGCAGCGCTTGAGATACTGACATGGATCATAAAGGGACAAAGTACTTATGTAGATTAGTTTTTAAGGATCGTAAGTTATCACGTGGATATAACTATAAAGTGTTAAAAAAGGAAAGTTTCGTGATACCTTTGTAGAGGATCACTGAAAATCTCATTATTTATAAGCGCAAGAATCTAAGCTTGATTGATTGATTTGATTGTAAGGAAGCTTCGCACAGAATCATGTACCTTGCGTACAAAATAAGACAACTGTATTTATGGATCTGTCACGCGATGCGAACAACATGACTACAAGCCAAGCTTGGGTATTTAAAGTGTAAGCTTTATTTTGGAGATTGTTAATATTCATTATCTGCGTGTCGATGTTTATTTTCATGAGTATAGTACCTAGTCACCAATATTATTGATTAGCTGTGATAATTTTTAAACGTAACAAAGAATATTTTTCAATTGAGTGTCTTTGGCTATCTGGGAATACACTTTGTGTCCTCACTACCCCTCTGAGATTGAGCAAGAAAACCATTCAGCTGCCAGACTTAAACCAAACGCGTCTTGCTCACTATCGTTTTCCCGCCCTTCGGTCCGGTCACATTTTGATTGGTTCCTGGAGATATTCATCTTTGCTCTGATTGGCCGTTCTGACCACCTTGGATGGCTTTATGACACTCAATCGTTAAAGGCCCTAATGTATTCTTGTTGAATGTAATTGGATGGCGTTGCATCCTATTTACAATGTCACGCAATAATTGTTCCTCTTTGAATTTGCTACAGAAGAAGAACTCCTTTAGAAACCGAGGTCCTTTACCTCGCTGTTTTTGACGGTGTCTGTAATATGCGTGAAGAAATTTTGCAGAGAATTGCAATGTTGCCGATTATGCATATCAATTTTGGTATAGACCCACCTCATTTTGTAGAAAATAAACTTATCAGTGTTTTCGTTGATATGCAGCATTTAATTCTGTTTTCTTCTCTTAGAGTAGCTGATCCTTATAAAACATATCAATTGTTTAATCTGAGATCACATGCAAAGATATGTTTTGTACGCTCCGCTTAGTTTCGCCTTCTTATTTCTAAATGCTGCAGCTTGAATGCCAACCTGTGACTTGCGAGTAGCAGGCGATGAGATGAGTAACGAGAATGATTTGAGGAATCGCATGGGAGCGAAAAGTTACTCATGGACAGTATGAAACTCTTTGCTTCCATTCCCTCCTTGCGCGCCTTTTCCCTTGGTCCGAGAATCTCATTAGTTATTCTCTCTTGTAACCGTCTTCTTTTTACTTATGGATCAGTTTTGAGAATTTTGTGTTTTTATTCCGAAATCACAGGATTTTTTTTTGAAACAAAAACAGCTTAAAGTAAGCTACGAAATATTTCTTTCCAGCAGGAGCTTTGGTTTTCATATCCCCACGGGAGGGGGAAGGGGGAGGGGGGGGGGTTATCATTTTTGCGTCCATTTTATCGTTAATGCACAGATTTTATCATCCTCTCTCTTGAAGGAAGAAAAAAATGAGTCAACTTATTTTGGTCTTTTTAAGCTTTATCTCAGCAGAATAGCAATGTTTCATGTTTATTCGTAGCTTCGTTGCTCAAATATAAAAATTTCAAAATAGTACTGCTTTGGTTTAATTCATTTGCTTGTTTTATACTGAAATCTAAGTTGCCAAGGTGTCTGAGTATTTGAAAAAAGTCTAAGTCGTTGAGTTACACAATTTTCATTTTCAAATTTGTTTTTCAATCTATTTTCAATTTCAGAGCACATTCCTAGAGATAATAGTTCTTGCAGTATTAATGTAATCACCGTCCTCTTTTCTTTCCATCGTACACAATTCCTACATCTCCTTCGTTCTTGATTAGCTGGCAGAGCGTGCAAAGGAAATTCCGTGACAAATCTGTGACGTATCAGCCTTCGATTGGGTTAGGTTGTTAATTCATATTCATCAGAAATTGTGCAATTTTCAGCAAACTTCGCTTTTCCACTTAAGAGTGAACATTTGTCCTCCCGTTGTGCTCAAGAAGAAATGATTCCGATTGAAATAAGACCCGTACAGATGAGAAACAGCAGTTTTCTGTTATTTCAACAGAAGGTGAGCTTTCCATCTTGAAAATGTTGTCTTTAACTCTTTCAGGGAGGTGAAAGAGTCATATCATCGTTGTTTCACGCGTCAACAAGTATTAGCTCCTCGGTCTGAGCAGCTTTTCGACTCAGATCGATTGAGTAAGGATGCTGACCTCCACAGAAACACAACCTATGGTTCTGGTATATTGAATTGCACAATGTCTCTTGGTTGGCGTAAATTACGAAGTTACACTGACAGGAGACGAGATTTTGTAGTTGAACGCTACCACGTGGAGTTTTAAAGAGTTGTGGTTGGCGAATTTCTTCCCCACAGAACTTTTGCATAACAAAAATAATGCAAAATATTTATTTTGATTTTGTATTTCTTCGTAAGATGTTTTTTTAAATCTCCGTGTAAGTTTAAAAAATTGGTAGGCGCCTGATCATATCGAAAATTTTTTTTTTCATAGAGAAAATAGTGATCTGAAGAACGATGGTAAAGCGAACGAACTGGAAGCACTGGGCATAAAGACGATAGGGAAAAAGATAAGAATTTTAAAAGTTTTGCAGTAACGGTAGTAAAAATAGTGGCTGTCTATTACATATCCGAGCTTTTGATAACTTTACAAGTAAGCTTCACCAACTGTTTGATGTTGTTCCCTCTGGCTCCCGCTACAAGAGGTTATTTCGCGACAAGCCACCTTTTTTTAATTAATTAGGTAATGGTACTGATTTTTCCGCAGACTCAGCGATAGTAAGATTGATTTTTTTTTCTTTTCTTGCCCTAGTTTAGACACATTTATCTCAGAAAATTTCGTGTCATTGAAGCAGTTGAACATTGATTGAAATTTGGCTATAAATTCTGATTGAACTTTTCGTACCACGCCATGGTGTCTTTTTTTTGTTTAAAGCTTGTATACATCATCTTGTGCAAAGAAATAATGTCCATATTATTTCAAAAGATGTAGTTCAGTCGATGAAAAATTTCATCTGGCGCATGCGCATTTTGAGCGCATTTTTGGTGGGGAAATTGAATTTTTTTCAACAGTCCTTGATACGAATTATGCCACCGAAAATGATTTGAATCCCTACAAAATCGCGAAATAAAGTTTACATATACAAGTCGGGCCTCAAATCCTCGATTTTGACAAACGAATCTTAGCTCTGCAGCGCCTTATCCTTGAGAGAAATGTGCTTTGTTCTGCACCGCTGAATAAATCTTTCCGTAGTGTTAAGGTTTTTTTTTGTGTGTTATTCGTGCTCGATGCATCAGAACATTCTGCCTTTCAGCCTGTGGGAGAATGAAAATAAAGGATACGTCAAGAATATGCAGTGGATCTTAATATCGTTAGTCGTTATTATAATGTAATAAATTCCAAAAAAAAAAAAAAGCAAATAATCGAAATCCTGGTACCCTGAGATCACGACGAAATTGAGTCTTAAGATAAATGGCTAAATTGAATTCGTATATCCTGTTCGTTGTACGTTAATGAGTTTGTCACTAAATGCTGATGAGAAAAACAATCAAGAACAGATGTGAATACTTGAATCGTGCAGGAAGCAGGCCACGAAAATATGAGACGCACGTTGGAATGTACTGGAGTGTTCAAAACAAGGGATTTTTTTTTAAGTCAAGAGCGAGCCAAGAACGAGCGAAGAAAATTCTGTGGAGGCAACTGGTCATGGATGTTCATGTGAACATACTTGCCTTTTTGCTGATTTTTGTGACTTTACAGTCACCACCACCCGACGAAAATCAGTACCCTTTGTAACATCGGTTGATTGAATAAATGTTCACAACTTTTCTTAGTTTTTTTTTTAGCATTTTCTGAAAACTTATTAGCATATAACGAGCGGATTATACGAATTCGTTTCATTAAATCGACTTTCATAACCAAGTTCAAATTGTTTATTCACTATCGTCGTTTACTGAGTCTAGATCAATCTTATAACCGACTGGTTCTCTAGTTCTAATAAATAAATGAAATGAACCTCGCACACGATCGAAAAACAAACAAAACCCTAAGGAATCCAATTTTTTTCTCCTCACACCTAACTTTGAACATAAACACGGAAACGCATAAATTGAATGACTATAAAATGTTATTCCCTAAAAGAAAAGCGATAAAGTGTTTCTTTTAAAAAATTCTATTTTCAAAGTCACCTTCTAGTAAGCAGCTTCAGTTACACGTTTTGGTCAAAAGGTTCTGCTGAGATGCTTATAGCGGGGAAATTTAAGTATTTTCAACATTCCTTCATTAGTAAAATCAAGGGAAAGATGTTGGTATAGCCCATACTTTCTTAAACAAAGCCATAGTCCCAAAGGCAATCTTAAGCTTTTTTTTTCGTTAGTGCTTTCTTTATCAAAAAAACTGCCTGCTTTGTGTGGAAATTTGCCAAACTAAGATATATCTCTATCCAGTTAATGACGATAGTTCCTGTAAATAGCTCGGTAAATAGATAGTCCCTGAAGGACCTTTTTTTTTAAGGAAAGAAAGCTGCAAATTCTCGTTTCACAAATTTTACGTTTCAAAATTATTTGCTAGTAAATATCTTTGATAGAATGAGCTGACAAAATAAGCTGGTAAAATATGGTGATAATTTACTTCATCTGAGACGATCTGGCAGAAGAATTGAAATCTTTTACACAGCAAGTATGAATGCTATGGACATTACAGTGTGTATAGGTAAATAATTTATTGATTGGTTGTTGTGATAAATTTGGTTTCGGTTTTTCGTCACCCAATTGAAAGTTGCTCTATTAGGCAATAGTTTTACTTTGCCAACTAGGCTCCAAGCTCCTATCTTTACATCAAAAATCTATCCAAGGTCTCTATTGAATTAAGTAAAATAGGTCTATTTTAGAAAAGTCGTTGTCAGAGAAAAAAAAAAACATAACATGACACCAGGAAAATATTGGGGAGAGTTCAGTTCATTGGTGCATGTTGAATTTGGTTGGTGAGAGAAACAGTTGGTTTTACTGAGTCTCAATAGTTTGAATATTTTTTAAATCAATTAGACTCCAAGTTTCCTTTTGAATTAAACACGAAAGCTAAGAAATCAAGTGCCGTGGGTTTTAAAGAGGTTCTAGTTTTGAATAAAAGAAAATTAAAAAAGCAAATGAAATCTGAAAGGAATTTAAGAAAAAAACTTTGAAAAGACTTAGGCCTCGTTAGCTAGTAAACTTGAAAACTCGACATCAAACGTTTTTTAGAAGCTTAGTGAGAAAAGAATCTGTAACTGGATCAACCTCGTATATTTAAAAATATATAAATGAATTCTGGAAAAAAACTTCTAGAATATCAATCTTTGAAGCAAACTCTTCGAGTTTGGGTTTAGCGCCAGAAGCTAATACATTTGACAAAAAGTATCTAAGAGAAAAAATGCTCCTTTTTTGAAAAACAGATGTTAATAAATGAATTAGGAAATGTTAAGGAGAATTCCGAACAAATTGACGAAATACCAATTTTGGTGGCATTTTGAGTTTTTTTTCCTCAGGGTTCTGCCTCGAGAGCTTGGAAATTCCACAATCAGACCTCAAGGGTGTTGTTGAATTATCCAAAAATGTTCGAATTTAGAAAACGTAAATTTTCAGAGTATAAAACTTATAATGGATATAGAAACGAGTTTTCGAAAGACCTAGAGAAAGACCAATGTTTGAAAAATACTTCTTGGGCGTTTTTTAGCCTCAAGAGCTAAGACAGTTGATAGTCATGCTGCATGGCAAAAAAGTCTTGTATTTGCAAAAAATAAGATAAAGAAAATAACAGACTACCTTAAGTTAATCTTAGAATCGATTTATTAACAGAAATCGTGTTTTAAACTTCCATTAACATCCATCTCAATTAGATAGCCTTACAGGGGATTGTAAATAATAATCTTTTCATGGGCATCCAAAATATGAACCATTCTAGAAATCAAATTTATTTTCTGCTTGTGATGTTTTTTCGTTTTCGACTGTGATTAGTTTTGAATTGCATATATTCACTTAACCAAGGTTCGGGAGTTCAATGCAGACCAAACATAAAAGCGCGGATAGCTAATTCGTTATCAAAAAGGTAATAAGTAACTAACCTGGTGAGAAAGAATCTTGCTTTTCTTCTCTTTCCTTTTATTTCTTTACTTCCAGATGTTTCGGGCATGCTTGACGCTCTTCTAAAGAAAAATGTGTGGTGAACATGCGCATGCCAATAGTTTTGTGAATACTCTTTAGTTGTCTATGCAAATCATTATTATCCTGATTAAAAGCTCAAATGTAGTGATCACATTTTATACTGACATATAAATACAGATACTTTTAATCAATTATTCTTTGTCGTATCTAAGCTCCCACACTTTTCATTTGTTTCCTTGAAAACAAAGTTACCTTGAATCATCTGGAAAATAAGAATGCTCTGAACTCCATGTCTCGTAATTCCTCGAATAACCCCTCTTACTTTAATAAGCACCCTCCCCTGCATAAGCGCTCACTCCCTTAGCCAACATATTAAACAACCACCCCCCTCCCCCACCTCGAATAAGCACCCTCCTACTGCCTCACTTCCTTCCTTAGATAGCAGGGATACAAGGAAAACCTGTTGCCAATGACATTTAATTTGTAACTTTTTAAACTAAAATCAGAACAGGTTAATAGTTTGTTAATAAGAACCCCCTCGATTAAGCATCTTTCTTCCGATGAGAAAGTATGCTTATGCAATTTTATATACTGGGGGTAACCATTTATGTCATGAAAAAAAAAATAACCTCAAAATGTTGAGAACAATTTGATTTTATTTTGAAACCAATTTCTTAGGAACATGATAAGAGTGTGTTTGCACAGGAGCCCATTACTTATATGGGCTCTTGGTTTGCATCGATATATCACATAGAATTTGTTTAAAATTATCAAAACCATATTCAGCCACCTTAATACTAGAACACTAAGCACGATGGACTGTGTATATGTTGTTGAAATAAGTTTAATAATGAAAATATGATTGTATAAGTTAACAAGCGATCAATACAACAAAAACGAACGAGCAAATTTCTCACTGCTGCCTCAGGAGTCACTTGGTTCAATGAAAACTGTCATGGCGGCTACGAATGGGATGGAGTTTGTCTTAGTGTATGTGCTGTACTGTCTATTAAGTTCCCAGTCCCCTTCTACATGTCACTCTGTAATTTAATGTTCAACGGTAACAACAACAAGAAGAACACTGTATTCCAATCCAATATGTATTAATACATAAGTTATTTACCTTGGGAAAAGTCGGGACAGAGTGTCATCCATCAATTCGCGACGTTAAATTTTCAACACTCTTATCTGCAGATTTAAAGAAACAGTCGCCACTCTTGGCAGAACTGACGATATCCAAGTTAATAAGGTCGAAATGACCTCTTTCTTGGCCGCAAACTGGCTGAAAAAGACGCTGAAATTTCTACTTTTAGTTCACAAGCTCTTTCCACGTTCAAGACTGATAGCAAATCATGAATTTTAATTTTTAAAATGATTTGTAATTCAAATGAGTTTGAATACCAACGACAAGCTTTTCGGTTAGTTTTGTGCAATCGTGAGCAATAGTTGGCTATTTTTAAGACTTGGTAGACTCTAATAAAGAGGTAGAAATATCTTTGCAACCGTAGCAATACCACAACTATTGCTTGCAGATAACTCTCCAGTTATTAAAATTGTTGTCCGGATTCAAATTAGACTTGGAGACAGCGCACGAACAGTAGCCTTGCGAAGAGCCACCGCTAAATTCCAAATTATCTCACTTACTTCTGTTTCATTTTATTAACTATCAACTCGCTCGATTTTCCTGGAATCGCGATAATTTTTTTTTTATTCCCTTGTAATTTCAAACTACACCTGTCTCGACGAATAATATTACGGTCGAAGGAATGGGTGTATTTTTCCAATTTCCGATAAAGCGTGAAAGGAAAAGAGAAAAGAAAGGGAAAGGAGAAAGAAACGTGCAGTCGAGCATCAACCAACAACCTCGCACTCATCCTCACAAGGGCCATTTCTTTCTGGGTACCAGCAGCGGACGACCCTTACGTATTCCAACCTCTCAAGAGAATATCAACTGTTGACTTACTCTCTTGACTTCTCTATAACAAAACTTGGCTCCAAGAGACCGGTCGTCATTTATCCCCTGTGGGGGGAGGAGGAGGAGGGGGTTGGACGATACAGATGGCTACAATGGTCATAAACGGTGCTACAAACATGAAGATTGCCGCGCAAAAGGCTGCCTTGCAAAATCTTCGTTCATAGATCAATAATAAAACTGGGCAAGAAATTGCTTTAGGTCAAGTTTTTAAAGGGATTGTTGAGGGTCGAAAGTTCCCGAAGTACGACCTTTGTCTAGGAACTGAAGGATACTATGCCAACGAAATTTTGGGCACAGCTCTCTGCCAACGTCAAGATTCTAACCATATTTTGTTTGGTATCGTCGGATTGAACTACGCGTGGATCAAGCGATCTGTTACTGAACCGGACACATCAATTGACAAGGAATATGAAATTTTTTTTACTCTTTTTTTTTTTATTATCTAAGGCAAGCTCGTAATTTTAAGAGCCAGATGTTTCTTACATCAAAATACTAGTCAGCTTCAATGGTTCAAAGAAAAAATCATCCAAAGTAAATTTTGCCGCAAATTAAAGTCAAGTATTTCAAAGGTTTCAAAGCGTGGAGTGCATTCGGTTGTAAGGTTGCAGAAAAAGTGAGAAGGAGCAGTGATCACCCCAACACTTTGGTTTTGGTGCGAAGCTGACGTTGACTGCAGACGAGGAAGATGACAAATCCATTTACAACCATCGTGATGATGCAGAAGAACCAGCCGAGAACCCAAAACCACATTTACATTGAATTTCTTTTTAATGGCTGTCCTTAACTACTCTGTTGTTCTTGCATCGCAACTATTCTGTTGTTTATTAACTGACGCCTTTTTGAAGAGAAGCCTTTTGCATTCTTGCTTTATATCTCTTTTGAAGAAAGCATAAGCTATAGGGTTTATTCCAGAGTTAATAACTTCTAGAGGAATTTTGTAATGAAAATCGTTACACTTTTGATCAGTTAACATTAATAAACTACAACGCATCATTATTCCGTAACACGATAGAAACACACACGTTACCAATGCTACCCATTTTACCGCTGACGCCTTGTTCTGGGTTTTAGCTCTAGCAACCGGTTGATTAAACCGCAATTGCTTAGCTAAAGTGCGATCTCTAGAGTATACAGCAAAAACATGGATGCAAGAAAAAGATCAGCATTACGCACAAGATTATCTCGAAAAGCAAACACATGTAGCCGAGCATAGTTATGATACGATTGATTGCAATGAGTCTAATTAACAATGAAGTAAGAGAGAAAAGGAAAGGAATTCCCCAAGATGTTAGAACCATTTGAATGACTCGGCTGTGCTTCATAAAAGTCAAGTATTTCAAAGGTTTCACCACAGCAACATAACGTTCTAGTACTAAACTAACCAAGTTTGTTCCAGAGATGTAAAGAATGAACACCCTTACAAATGTCACAATTAATCCCTCTTTTGAGCGTGGAGTGCATTCGGTTGCAAGGCTGCAGAAAAAAAGTGAAGGAACAGCGATCATCCCAAAACTAAAATCAGCCACTGCTAAAGACACGACAAATGCGTTGGTTTTGGTGCGAAGCTGACGTTTACCGCAGACGAGGAAGATGACAAATCCATTTACAACCATTGTGAGAATGCTGAGGAACCAGCCGAGAACCCAAAACCACGTTTCCATTGAATTTCTTCTAAGTGGTTGTCTAGGACTTTTCGATTGCTTTCTTCGGTCAAGCCAAGAGTGTTTTGAAAGGTTTAAGGATGAAAAATTTGATTGTGTTTATATAGAGTTTTTAATCAACCATCTGGCCCCATCCAACCTACGTACAAGTTAATATGGCAATATATATGCTGTTTAATTAAGTCATATTCGAGACTGCAAACATCGATCACTTAACAATGTTCTTATCAGACGCTTCCTGCTCGGAGTTCGACGTCTGTTTATTGGTTTTCAAGAAGAATAAACCAATTGCAATCAGAAATTGAAAACAAACGCGGAACTTCTTTTGACTTCGTCTTCTAATGTGTTTTAATTCAAAGAAAATTACGGCAGTCCTTTTTTTAGACTATCAGCACAGCACGATCGTGCAAATGAATTGCAAATTAACGAAACTTATACCCCATTCACACCAGCAAAACATGTTTTGTTAAACTGGTTTTCATTGAATGAAAATTATAAACAGAGCACTGAAAAACTTGATTTTCCATTGGATTCAAGTACTTGCTAACTTGCATTTCCAATGTGCTACATTCAAGTAAAAAATATTCGGTTAAATAGTTTCTAAAAAGAAAAAAAAAATTAAACTGTGTTTAACAAAACAACTTTTAAACATGTTTAAGCTTTGGTGTGAATGCGGCATTAGCCAACAACAAATATTTTGAATAACAATAACTTCAAAATTATTAATCGGTCAGTGTTAAGCGTAAATCGCCCCCTTTTATTATCAAGTTAAAGACGTTTTTAAAAAATAAAGAAGCCTCGAAGGACTGATCTGTTGTAAAGAATTTCGGAAGCGGCGTTGTTTGTATTTTTACTCGCCATACGGGCTCGTCAAAATACGGCACAACTCGCAAAAATACTCAGCGATACTACACACCAAAACGTATAATAAAATATATTTATCCACAGCTTGTTCTGTATCAGTTGCAACCAAATAACTCGTTTTCATGCTCGTTTTAAAGGTCATCATGTGCAAGACTTGTGGGTCAAGTGCGTCACTTTTCTTTAAAAAATTGTTTGCTAAGCACACAAGCATAAATTAAAAGCATTTCACAAAGACCTATTAAGAAAACGTAATATTATAAATTTTTCAGAAGGCATTTGCCTTTGACAATCTCTCTTGACATACGACCGATAGATTACATGACTTGAATACTTGTCAAGTAATTCATTTTTAGTCGAACGAAGGTCTACCTTAACGAGCATCTCCAAGATAATTTTTCATGGAATAAAAAAGTGTTGGAAATGTTATACCATTGTTACCTACGCTACCGAATGTGAAAAAATTTCCAAATGAAAGCGGGGAATTAAAAGTATGTATATCATTGAATCTTATATCGGTATTGACTATTTAAGGTGATGATCAATCGCTAAATTAAACACAGCTCATGGGGAAGTTGCACGTATGTAAATCGACTGTCGTTAACGAAAAGTCAGGTAATTCAGCACTTTTTTCCAGCATTTATCGTTTAAAAGTTATCGTGTAATTCATCAACAAGAGCTTAAAACTCTAAAACATTGAAGAGAACATACAATAACAAACACAGCAAAATTACGAAGAAAAATGCAATTTTTTTACTCTATATCATTAAAATATACAACGCAAGCTCCTAATTATAAGAACCAGATGTTTCTAAGACTAAAATACATGCCAGCTTAAATGAGTAATTCAAGAAAGATGTTTTCTCCAGTAAAGTACGGCCTCAAAATAATCAATATGTGCTCTTAAATAATAGAGACGCATGTAATATCAACACTACTTCTCTTAAACAAGTGACTTATCTTTGTTTCATCAGAAGCTTTTTAACTGAACAGCAGTTTAGATAAGAATTAATATGTCACGAATAGATTCTGAACCGGAAGTCCTCGGGATCTAGGAAAGTTTTAAGTATATGCATCAGCTAATGTTTTTCTTGCGTCGGAACTACTCTGTTGTTAAATAACGACGCCTTTTGAAGAGAAGCCTTCCGCATTCTTGCTTTATATTTCTTTTGAAGAAAGCATAAACTTTACGGTTTATTCCGGAGTTAATAACTTGTTGAGTTATCTTGTAATAAAAATCGTTACTACGTTTATGACCAGCTAAAAATAATAAACTACAACGCAAGAATATTCCCAAACACAATAGAAACACACACGTTACCAAAACCACCCATTTTACAGCTGATTTGTTCTGAGTTTGAACTTTAACGACCCGATGATAAAAATTAAATTACCTGGCTACAGAGCGATCCCTATAGTTCAGATTGTAAATTGAACAAGAAATATGGATGCAAGAATGAATATTAGCATTAGGTACAAGATTATCTCGAAAAGCAAATACAAATAGCCGACGATGGTCTTTGCATGTTCGAATGAATTGAGTCTTATCGACAATAAAGAAAAAGTAAGAGTGAAAAGAAAAGGAATTCACCAAGATATAAAAACCATTTGAATGACTCGGCGGCGCTTCATCATTGTCAAGTATTTCAAAGGTTTCACCACGGCAATGTATCCATTTAAAATCATCGTGGGGATGCAGAGGAACTAGCCGAAGATCCAAAACCACAATTTTATTGAATTTCTTGTTCAAGAAAAATTTTTAAGCAAAAACGTTTTAGGCAAAAAGAATTGTTTATACAAGGGTTTTATAGAACCATCTCGCTCCCATCAACTCTTAAAATTTACTAAGGACAATAGTTAATGTTTAGTTAAGTCGCATTCAAGCCTGCAAACATTTATCATTCTAGAATGTTCTGTCAGACGCCTTCTGCACATAAATTTGACGCCAGTCATTGGTGTCAAAAAAGAATGGACCAATCAGAAGTTAAAAACAAAAGCGGAATATTTTTTACTTCATCATCTGATGTGTTTCAATTCTCAAAACTACAGCAGAGTGCAGATAAGATGTGAAATAGTGGAAATTAGCCTCTATTTGGCCGAGAACAACAAATATTTCAAGTGACAATAATTTCAAGCGTAAATCGCCCCCTTTTAATATCAAATGAGTGACGTTAACAAATAAAGAAGCTTTGTTTTGTTGTAAAGCAGCAGCAAGCAGCTGGAGCACAAAGGGGGAAACACGAGACGCGTGCTATTTGTCGGGTCGGTGCGTATTCGTCGGTAACTTGATCGGAAATTTCACTCTTTACCTGCGTGTTATAATATACCTGAAAAAATTACGCACTTCTGAATGGCTGACAAGTCCATTTTTCATGTAATGCGAGTGCAAAGTTGTAATACGAATGCAATTTGTTGTCTTTGAAAAATTTACTTGTGCTTGCTAACACCAAATTGCACTCGAAATCATGTTGATACCTATACTAAAAATACACACGAAAAATTTACGCGCTTCTGATTGGCTGAAACTAAGTGCATTTGTCATGTAACACGAGTCCAAAGCTGAAACATGAATACAAATTACAACTAGCGCGCACGCTGTCAAAATTTCGTTTGCCTTGCCTTTGAGAGATGCCTTTTTCATGTATATTATTACAAGGTAACAACATGATTTCTCGTGCGGTTTCTTGTAAAGGGGCACTTGAAAAATTTGGGCTTGTGAAATATTTGGTCTTTGATAAAATTACTCGATTTTTTGTCGTTTTTTGTTGTTGTTGTTGTTGTTTTTTTTGAAATTGTGTCAGTACTACTTTGTGCTGTTACCTACAGGTCGTTCCGTGTCATTTAAGGCTAAGAAACTAAGCTCAAAAGAGATAGCACTGCCGTGTAGATCATGTCTATGTAAACCTATCGAGACGACCTTAACAAAACACCTAGTTTCAAACAAGTGGGAAGACTGAAATAAACCTCTATCGGTTCGATTCAGTGAGTAGATAGGTTGAGGGGAGGGGTGAGGCGAAAATAGCGTTAGATGATAAAACTTGAGACAAAAATCAAAGGTGCGCATGATCATCTCTCACTCTATATCTTTTCCTAGAAGTATTTTTCTCTCTTTTACTCATAAAAGTAACACTGCTCAAAGTCGCCAGTTGTTAATAGTGTGAGAGTCGTCTACCATATCTTTGCGACGTTGAGATACTAGCCCTGCAAATACAGCTATTTTCAAATCTTACGGCGGACTGAGAAACGCGCGTCCTGCGACGCTAATCAAGAGAACCTGACCGCAAGCTCCCATCCTCTCTACGGGAAACGCGGTTGATCTTAAGGGTCGGGTTCAAGGCCTGGCCAGGACATTGTATTGAGTTCTTGGGCAAAGCTCTTAAATTCTTACAGTGCGTCTTCACCCATGAGTAAAAATAGATACTGTCCCTCCTTACCCAGAAGTATGAATGGGTACTATCCGTCTCCATCCAGGTGCATAAATGGATACTGTCCCCCTCCACTCAAGAGTATAAATGGATACTGTCCCTCTCCACCCAAAAGTATAAATAGATACTGTCCCTCTCCACCCAAGGGTATGAATGGATACTGTCCCTCTCCACCCAGGAGTATAAATAGATACTGTTCCTCTCCACCCATGAGTACAAATAGATACTGTCAATTTTGGTGGCATTTTGAGTTTGGTCTTAGGGCTTGGAACTTCAGCAGTCAGACCTCAAGAGTGTTGTTGAAATTATCTTAAAACGTTCGAATTTAGAAAACGACTATTATCAGAGTATAAGACTTATAATGGATATAGAAACGATTTAGAGAGAGACCGACGTTTGAAAAATACTTCTTGGGTTTTTTAGCCTCAAGAGCTAAGACAGATAATTATCAGGCTGCATGGCAAAAAAGTCTTATTTTTACCGAAAAAGAAGAGAAAGAAAATGAACAAACTACCCGACCTATACACGTACGTACATTTTTAAGAAAATGAATTCCATAGAAAACTTGAAAAGCAGCAACGTAGGACCGCTCTATTTCAAGTTGGTTTTCTCCTCAAAAGCTAAGATATTTATCAATTCGGCTCCGAGCTCTTTTTCCTTCTTTACCGATTTCTGTTCAAAAATTATACAATTTCAGCTATTGATGAAAATTTG